AAAAATCATCTTTCACAAGGTTCTAGCACATGCAAACAGAAAGGGTAATAAAAAATTAATGGTAAGTTTCTATCTTGCATGCACATAAATAATATTTCAAGTCTCCAAATTTTACACTTAAACTTCTGCTGTACCATGTTAATGCAACTTAAACTTCCAGTTTTTTTAAATCTAAGTTAACAAGATGGTAAAACTTACCTTAATGTGGCCTTAGCTTGCAAAAACTCCTAAAACCTTCTTGATTCTGTACCATTTTTTCTGTTAACCATTTTCTTTTGGTGAAAATTTTCCTATATTTAACTTTCCATCTCACATTGTATTCTCTTGTTTTGCAGATTGCATCAATTTGGTGAAACCTACATCATATTCTTCAATTTACATTTTCAATATTCTCAAAGACTCAAATTGAAGAAGCACAATTTTCAGGCAGCAGGTATATATAGTTCCTAATTCCTAAATGTGTGTTTTTCCACATTCCTTTTACTTCCCTCAAAGCTTTATTTTCTGATACTTAGAGGAGTATAATCTAGTACTATAATCTTTTCGTTAAACTTTAATGGATAGTAGCATAATCTTTTCATTATACTTTGATATTTCCGACTTTTTGATCTTTTTATTAAATTGTATTATATAGTAGCATTATCTCTTGTTTGGTTTTTACTTTTCTTATCATAGATCGCGTAGTGATTTTCTTCCTTTTTAAATTCGTTGCATTTTGGTTTCTACTTTACAGGCAACTTTTGTGGAGAAGTTTTTGTCAGGCGCATTGGTTGATCCTTACTCTAGTGGGCTGGAGAAAACACTAGCAATTTAAGGTATATCTTCTTCTTCCAATCAACCATGCATATATATAATTGATTTATGTCATTCTTTGAATCCGCAATCATGTAATAATATTTTTTTTATATTTTTGGTTCTTGTTCCCTAATTACTTTAAAGTTAAAGTTTAAACCACTCATTCATTTCATTTGGCTCCTCACAAAAAGAGATATCCAATTTACCTTTTAATTTCCTTTTTAAACAAATAAAGGATTTATCTAATTTTTAATATTAAGGTGCAATAAATACATCATTTTACATTTAATTTATAAAATAATACAAAAATTAGTCTTTATTTTAACATCATTATTACATGAATAATTTTTATTAGTTAATTAATTAAATTAAAATCAATATTTATATTTTTTATGCAAATTAATTATAATATGGTATAATAAATACATTAGTGACCTATGATCTTAGTGACATATGATCTAAGGACATACGATAAAAAAATCCAACAAATAATTAGAAGCTTTTTAGTTTTTTCCTAGCTTTACCCACGAGTAAATGAAAATACACATTTCAATACTATAAATTTAAATTAAGGGTAAATTGAGGTTTTAATTGTACTATTAATTGTGTCGAGAACAAATTTTTATATAGCTTTTTAGTTTTTTCCTAGCTTTACCCACATGAGTAAATGAATATACAAATTTCAATACTATAAATTTAAATTAAGGGTAAATTGAGGTTTTAATTGTACTATTAATTGTGTCGAGAACAAATTTTTATATAATTATTTGATTTTTTAGGCATAGGATAAGGGTGAAATTAATACACTTTTTCATAATTAATTTTTATTAAAAGTATAGATGTTAACTTTAATTTAATCAATTAACCAATTTAAAATTATCCATGTGAGAGTGATATTAAAATAAATGTTAACTTTTATAATTTTTAATGTAAATTAATTACAAAAATATGCATTTATTGTATTCTTAACATATACCCTTAGATTATAGGTTAGACAAAACCATTATTATTTATCTACATAAAATTGTAAGTTTATAAACTTACACAGCATTTAATAAAATATATTATAATGTTAAACGAATAAATGTATATAATATTAACAGTAAACTTTTAAATGAAAAGAATCAATTATATAAATATAATAATACATAATCTTGTAAACTTATAATTACACGTAATGTTATACCTATGGTATTTTTGATAAAATATCTAAATGCTGGTTTGACTCTCTCCCCATTTGTGGTGTTCAATGACATGGTTGGCTTTAACCAATTCTTTAAAATGTCTATTTGTTTTACCCTTTCTATTATAGTGCTTTTGGGTTCAGAACGCCATCTTCCTTCTTCTTCTTCTTCTTCTTCTTCTTTTTTCTTATTTTGGTTTTACATTTACACTTCCTGTAACATAATAGTTACAGTAACTAAAAAGAAATGAAATTAATATTAGAAAGAGTGATAAGAGAAAATTGGCCTTCAATTTATATGATAGGAAAAATTTTAGAGATTACCATAGAACTTCTTGTACATGGGATTTTACCATTAACTCACCAAATTTAATGTCAATTACTATCTCACGCATATTTTCTTCACTTTCACTTTTCTCTTCCAAAATCTTCATTTGTTTTGATTTACCTTGCTGACTTCTTCACTAAATCAAAAAACTTTAATACTAGCATAATATTTTATTTAGTTTATATTTTCCTTCATGTTTTGAATGCAAGAGGCATATGCTGATACATGCAAAACCAGAATTTTATCACCGTTTCTTTATGTAATTATGTATATGATGTGGTGGATGCAGTGACTGCGTTATGGACTTCGTGGGACTAATTATTGAAATAGTGTATTCTGTTGGCCGCATTATTGAAATAGCGAATGATGTTCGCGGATATCTGGAAGATCAGATAAAATTCAATGAGTCTCTCGAAGAATTCTACAGGAGGAAAGGTGACTTACCCAATCGAAGGGATGACATTGAATCAAAATTGCGCACAGAGCTTCGCCATGGGAAGGTTGCTAAGCGGGAAGTGCGAAGATGGTTGAACGATGCAGATGCGTTTTTCGCAAGACCAGCGGTTGAAGCTGAAGTGAATGGTTGGGGATGGCTCTCATTGTATTATCGAGTAGAGATTCTAAAGGAAAGGGTTCAGGAATTGGAGGAAATCTATGAAAGAGGGGATAGATACACTGATGAGTGTTTGGTCATTGATGATCCATCAGCTTCGGGGGTTGAATTGACAACATCAGAGTTACAAGGCAGTGAGGCTGTTAAAACAAATATTTTGGCATGCTTGAAGGGAGGAAAGGTGACAATGCTTGGAGTTTGGGGGATGGGGGGAGTCGGGAAAACAACAATAATGAAGCATGTCCATAATGAACTGCTAAAAGAAGGTAAATTCAAGAAAATAATTTGGGTAACTGTGTCACAAAACTTTGATATCCCCAAATTGCAAGATCAAATTGCATGCAGCTTGAACTTGAAGGAAAAGTTGGAAAAGCTTCAAAATGAAACTATTCGTGCAGGAGTGTTGTCAGAGATGCTAGAGGAACAGAAGCCTTACTTGCTGATTCTTGATGATGTGTGGAGTAGTTTCAGACTTGAAGATGTTGGAGTTCCTGAGCCAAATGCAACTAATGGCTGCAAGTTAGTATTGACTACACGGTTACAAGAGGTTGCTCGTTTAATGGATTGTAGAAGAATATTCCAAGTGAAGACTCTTTCAAAAGTTGAAGCTTTAAAATTGTTTTTAAATAAAGTTGGAGATACTGCTTTATCATGTCCAGGAGGAGGTATTAAAAGGGATTTAGAATCAACTTTGAAGGACATTGTGGATGAATGTGATGGTCTTCCATTGGCACTTATTACAGTTGCTGGCAGTTTAAAAGGAATATCTGGGTCACGGTTGTGGAGTGTTGCACTGAATCAATTGAGAGATTGCAAAAGAAATGTGGCAGGTCCAGATAATGCTGATGCATTTCAGATATTAAAGTTCAGTTATGATCGTTTGAAAGACAAACAGATCGAAGATTGTTTTTTATATTGTGCATTGTATCCTGAGGATTACAGGATTTTGAAGGAGGAAATAATTGAATATTGGATTGATGAGGGGTTTATAGATGAAATGGACACTCGGCAAGCAATGAAGGATGAGGGTTATTATATTTTGACGAAGCTTGAAGAATGTAGCTTGTTGGAATTGATTAGAGAGGAATATGAAGGAGATTGTGTGAGGATGCATGATCTTATTAGAGATATGGCCTTGCACATTACAAAAACGAGTCCTCGGTTCTTGGTAGAAGCTGGCAAGGCATTGAAAGAGCTACCAGAGAAGGTAAATTGTGCAGAAGGTGTTCAAAAGGTTTCATTAATGTGTAACTATATTAAAGAAATTCCATCGAGCATGGCATCTTCAACATGCAAAGGACTCACAACCTTGTTGTTGGCCAAGAATGATTTGTCAACAATTTCAGAATCTATCTTTGAGCATATGCCAGAGCTAAAAATTCTTGATCTGTCCTTCAATAAAAAGCTAAGCAGCCTACCAAATTCTGTCTCTAGCTTGGTGAAGCTTACTACATTGTTGTTGGAATCAACAGGCCTAAAAAGTGTACCATCTTTATCAGGCCTTGGATCCTTGAAAAAGTTAAACCTTAGGGGGACAAATATCAAAGAAGTCCCTGAAGGCCTGGGAATGTTGAAGAATTTGAAATGCCTTTTTCTTTGTGGATCAGACCATGGAAAGATTCTTAAAATAGATGAGATAGCAGATGGAGTATTATCAAATCTCTCCAAACTTCGGGAGTTAATTGTAGATAGGAGCAGCATAATATTGAAGGGAGACGACGTTGGGAGATTGAACAAGTTGGAAGTTTTTTATGGCCGATTTCCCACTGTGAATGACGTGAGAATCTTTCTTAAATCTCAGCCTAATAAGCTGAATAGCTATGTTATTATTGTTGGAAGCAATTTGGATCACTTTGAGGAGGAAGAGATTTATGAAAGTCTAGAAGGGTTATCAAGATATGAGAAAATAATGCTGTTCCGGGAGACTAGTATTGTTGGAGAGAATACATTATGTCCCCCCGTCCAATTCTTACTTATTTGTTATTGCCACAACATAAGAAGCTTAAATGATTTTTCTGAAATTAAAGATATAACAGATTTGAGGAGATGTGTGATTCGGGGTTGTGGAGGCATGGAGTGGATTCTTTCCTCGTGGATAAATAGCAGAGTCGTCCAAACCCTTGAGTATCTAGAACTTTGGAATTTGCACAAATTGGATGGGCTGTTTGAAGCAAACGTCATGGCGACGTCATCACCTCCACCTAGGGCTTTTTCATCTCTCCAAAAAGTTCAGATTGGGAGATGTAAAAAAATAAAGAACTTGTTTTCATCTTGGAAGTTGGTGGAATGTCTCAAAAATCTTGAAGATCTCTATGTCAACAACTGTGAAGAAATGGAAGAAATAATAGCATCAGATCCAGAAGAAGAAGGAGAAGAAGGAGGGGACATCATCAAGAAGCTCATTCTTCCAAAATTTAAAAAGCTGACATTGAAAAAATTGCCAGCATTGAAGAGCATCTGTAGCAGGAAGGCAGTAATGGTATGTGATTCTCTTGAAATGATTGGAATTTGTGATTGCAAGGGCCTAAGGAGGATACCTCTTTCTCTTCCCGTGGTTGATAACGCCCAACCATCTCCTCCTCCTTCCCTCAAAAAAATCAACATGTATCAACGAGAAGAGGAATGGTGGGAATCGTTGGAGTGGGACCATCCCAATGCAAAGGATGTCCTTCGACCCATGGTTCAATTTTTTCCCGATAATCACCTGCTTCAATAATCAGAGTCGGAACATTTGGAATCGGTGGATTATCCACAAGATTGAAAGGTGAGGATCAATTTGCTATTTTAATTTAGGTGTTACGTTTGCATATCTTTGTTTTGGCATTCATTTCCTACAAATTGGAAAAAATTTTAATGAATGAAAATGCATAAATAAATTCCTTGATTATTGTTAAAAATATATAGTAGTGCTTAATTTCCCTTCCCAATGATTTTCAAGTAATGAATTTTTCCTTTTATTTTTTCATTGCATCAGGAAGTCGATTTATTCAGCCAGTCTGTTGCTTTTCGTTCCGGGCTTCAAAGGATGTCCTTTCTACTACCCTTGTGTGGATTGTTTTAGTGTGATTCTTGTGTTTTCATATGCTGTTTGTAACTTAATTGTGTTGAAAATTGATTTAGAACACCATATGTATTCTTATGTATTTTCTTGCATTGTTATATATCTTGGTTGTACTATGGTCCATGTACAAACATAAATATGTGTTTTCAATCTAATCTTTGATAAATTAACTGGAGAGAAAGCAGGAATTCCACCCACAACAATCAACTCACGAATTCATTGATTCTCTTCTTCTTTGCTCTTTCTTCTTCTTCTTCTTCTCCTGTTGTGTGATTCCTTCTTGTTCAAAGTACAAGATGGAAAGATTTAGGGAAACATTGGGAGCCAAGAATGGCTTTTCAGTTCTTTATTCTCTGAACAGTTCTTAGTGTAGACCTTAGGAATTATATAAAAGTCAGATTGCGATTCATATTGTCACATCTTTACAAGCCTGAATGAGATCATAGTTATTTAACTAGAATAGAAGGCTTAGTGCCACATTTTCTTACCTAAGTGGCCAAGATTTAATTCTCTAATCAAATTCACTGCTGGCTTATAAGAAAAATAATCCAAATTAATTTGTCCTTGCAGTTGACATAATGTAGGATGAAGGATGCATTGATACAGATGAGTAAGGGTGTGCTAAAGGAACCTACTGCAATTCTAGTTGTTGTCTTGTTTGGTGATAGACCTCCAACATTGTCAAAGAAAGATGTTACATTCACCCCTTTCTACTCCATCCTTGATCACTCTCAACCTTAGGTGCATACCAATGCAACAATGGTTATCCTGCACGTTTGCTGCATCTAGTTTTGGACAAATACTCAATGCATGGGTTAGCCCTCATTTTTTAAGAAAAGTTGAACAATGGGAAATTATCTTAATGATTGTAAGTCTTAGTTTCTAAAGCTGATTTCCATTTTTTCTGTTTGCTACCAAAATGGAATGAATCCCTTAGCTATCTTATAATTTATTTTGAGTTTGGTTTCAAACTAGATAGGGCTAATGGGGAAAGCATTTCTTGAGTTTCATCCACATACAGAGATGTTCTTCTTGCTCATAAGGTGAGGACTCAAATAAATGGTTTGGAGCTCTAACATTTTTGTTGGTTTTGGTGCAATAGTTATACTTTACTTTGTGTACTGTTAGCATATTGGCTTTAATTATGATGTGAGGTAGACAATAATTCCCTTCTATTAATGTGTTTAAGTGAGATTGTTCTGTTTTATACAAAAGTTCAGATTGTGGACCTTGTGAATCTTAAACAAGTTAAACTTTGATTCTTAACAAGCATCAATGTAATAAAACTAGCATAGTTCAGAAGAATAAGAACCATACTTCCTGACTTGACATTGATTCTGTAATTAAATTTTATTAGGACTTACTGATTTAAGCTCTTAAATTTGTGGAAGATACATGATTGATCTACTTCAGATATGACATGGATTAAAAGAAAGATGAAGACAACACACTAACTGAAGGTGAAGCTGAGATTGATTTTTCACATACAAAGAGACTAGACTTAAAGTGGAGTCCATTGTAGGTATTGCATTACCCTATATGGTGCCCAGGTACCAAACAGTGAACTGTGCTCTAGTTAATTGTCTAGTTTATATACTTTGTAACTTGCTTAATAAAGTGACAACCAAAATACCAGCTAGATATTTACCCATCCTCTACTCCCATTTCTTTTGCAATATGACCAACATATGATGTTTTGTTTTTTAAAATTCCAAATATATTTCAGGTTGTCTAACTAAAGATGCTGAGAAGCAATGAGGACCGGCTAAAAGGATGTAAAGATCTCAACCGTTGATGGGTGTCCAAGGTCGAGACAAGGAAGCCACTGAGATTTCACTGGTTTGATCAAACTCTACCAAAGAGGTACTCTAAGCTACAATTCTAAGTTCTAACTATTTTTTCCTCTGGTGGATTCTATATTGAAAATAAAATTGTGGCATTTTAAATATGTTTAGGTGGGGTTTTCAAGTGACTGCGGGCGAATGAGTGTGGCTGTGACTCAAGCAAGAAGATAGTGTTGCCTTGTCTGTGCTTCCAAAACAATAAGTGACAGATTCTTAAAGCCATTCACAAAGTACTTTGAGGAGCATGGCCAATATCTAAGTGGCTCTGAATACTGTAATGAATACGTAAAGAACTTGAAGGAATAAGATTGTCTGTCCCCAACTCAGGGCATTTCAGTTTATTGCCTAATCTGCTACATCTATATTCAGGATCTCAGAAAAATGGGTAGTACGATGTTCTTATAAAGATTAATTTCTATTTGTTGTTATTTATCAAGAAAGTCATCAGAAAAATATAGTGCCAGACATTCCGATCATCCTTGTTTATTATTTTTTGAACTTAGGTAAAGATGTCTTTGTATTGGCTTGGTGAGTTCTTACAAACAATGTGTTGTAGAGGTTGGAGTACCACTTTATACTCTCTTTAAATGAAGTTATTTTTGGTTGATAAAAAGGGATACTTATTTTGGTAATTGCATTTGATGTTGGAATGTTAATCTGCAACAGCAATTATAAGTTGTCTAGATTTTAATGTACCAAAAGTTATAGATTAAGGTTAACTTTTGAGCATCACAAGAAATAAGGTTCGTAATTGAAGTAGATGT